AATTATTTATAATGATTACACAATTGCAGAAGAGACAAGGACGATCACAACATCACCAATTGCTCGGATCTTGAGTTCAAACAACTTGATTTTGTATTTGCATTTCCAAAGAAGAAGGACTGGTTCTACGTAATGTCTCAACCCAATAAGTGTTGGACTGATGAGGTAAATTCATGTCCACTTTTATCTTTTGATTAAGACATAAATACATACAAATAAATTGATACATAAATACACTTGTTGATGCATCTGTGCAGTATGTGGATGTCATTTTATACTATTTGCAGAAGAAGTCGAAGCAACTGAGTCATTCTAAAAATCGATATACCACTACTAATTGTTTTTTCAAAACATACATTGACAATGCCAGTGTTGTTCCTGAATATGAGAATAAAATCGTTGGCACTATCAAAGGGTTTGGTATACCTGCTGGACTGCCTTAGCACCTCACAGATGAGGTTTATGTCTCTGTAAATTGTAATGGGGAGTTTCATTGGGTCTTGACAGTCGTTGTATTGAAGGAACGACACATAAAGGTGTATGATTCGATGTCCTCATCTAGGACTAACAGAAAATTGTGCGCCGAGATTCAAAAGTTGTCTACAATGTTGCCAAAGTACCTTGAATCCAACGGATTTTATGAGCAAAAAGACCGAACCAACTGGTCAGTTCTTGAATCTTACCAAGGCAAGAAAAAATCTCACCCATTCGAAGTCATACATATTACTGGTATTGCCCAACAAGAAAGCAATATTCTATAAGTAGTATCACATTATCTTTTTAGTATTACCACTGTCGAAATGTGATGTTAATATTAGGTTTATTATATTTTCTAATTGATGATATACCATGCAGTGATTGTGGAGTTTTTGTAGCTGCATACACTGAGTTTTTGAGTGATGGACTACAAATACCATCTGATGGAATTATTTCTCAATCCCTTCGCTTGAGATATGCTTCACTCCTATGAAATTATGGGATTTTAAAGGCTCGGAGTGGCTATGTTAGTAACAATGAAGACTCACAGAGGCCTAGACCTAAAAAGCAAAGTTCGATGAAAATGTTGTGGTTACCACCATTGATTAGATTGATGGTTATGTATATCATAGTGAATTACTTTTTTGTTGATAAGTTGTATAAAATAATTGGTGAAGTGTTGATTTTTGCTGATAATATTAATATTAATGATTATTATTATTATTATTTTGTTGGAACAAATGTCAATGATGATGGAAAGGAAGAAATGTGGTTTCTGTGGCTGGCAACATATATAACCTCTGTTGTAAAAAACACCACAGAATTATCTGCATGTTCCCCAACAGAAAGGATATATGTGGTAACAGATGTCACAGAAAGAAGATATGTGGTATATGTCACAGAAAGGAGATATGTGGCAACATTATATTGTCATCAATTGTTCATTTTTGCTGATTAATATTAATATTTAATAATTATTAATATTATTTTATTTTGTTGGAACAAATGTCAATTATGATGGAAAGGAAGAAATGTGGTGTCTGTGGTAACATATATAACCTCTATTGTAAAAAACACCATAGAATTATCTGCATGTGCCCCAACAGAAAGGATATATGTGGCAACATATGTCACACTTTGAATTGTCAAAATTCAAAATAAAATAAAATTGAATAGGTTTAAAACAATCGTCCCTTCATTTTTCCCTCTCATCTCCTCTATAAAAGATAAAATGTCGTTTCATATTCCAAATTTAATTTAATTTTACTAATTTCCATTTTCTTTTCTCTTCTTTCCTTCCTTTCCTTCCTTTCTCTCGTTCCATTATTCCTTCACAGATCAAGGTTGTTGTTGTGATATTTTCTACAACATCAGTGGTAATTTGTGCGATCGTCTTCTACAATAAGGCGGCGTTGCCCTCATCATTTCTAGTTTATCGTTGATATCTTGCCAGGTAAAATTTAATTAGGGTTTTGATAAATACTTATTGGTATTAAATCAGGACGTTTTTAGTGGTTTTATCACTTATTTGTTTGTATGATGGTTGGATAGTTATTCCTTTTGTTTGAAGGATGGTTGAATAGTTATTCCTTAATTTGTAGTTCGTTGGTTAGGGTTTAGGGAGGGTTTTGTGGTTTGTTGGTTGGTTCATGTGTGGTATTGAATTGTATTTGTTGTTTGTGTTGTGTTTGGTTGTTGTTATTTTTGTTAAGAAATATTTGATTTTTGTGGTTGCAGATACAAATATAATGGCTCATGTCAAAAGAAAAATTGTATCAACAAAAGAAACAACTGACACAAAGATCCAGAAGAGGCCTAGGACTAGAACTTGTAGGAAGAAGAATGAAATTTTGACTACCACTCTTTTAGAAGAACTAGCATCTGAAGTTCTTCTTCTCAAGTAGAAGCAGAATTTTCTCAAAAAGAATATGAAAAAAGAGAAAAAGAAAAAAATAAAGTAGATAATGATGGAGAAAGAGCAGAATAAGTTGAGGAAGAAAAGGGAAATAAAAGAGAACTTGAGGAAGATAAAGGAAAACAAAAAGAAGTTGAGGAAGAAGAAGGAAAAAATAAAGAAGTAGTTGAGGAGGAAGAAGAAAAAATAAATGAAGTTGATGAAAGACAAAGGAAAACAAAAAGAAGTTGAGGAAGATGGGATCAAAACTATCAATGCACACACTTTTCCTGTGCATTTGCAGCCTAATGCTACTGGTGATAGCATTATGAGGTCATCAATGGGAAAATCTTTCGACACCTTCAGGATTACCCTCAAGCAGAATGGTTTGGAAGATTTTTTTAGGAATAGTTGTTTTGGTCATTTTCTTGATTTGCCAGAGAATAATAATGCACGTTTTTAAATGACCATGGTCTATGAACTTCTGAAACAAAGGTTCATTTTTCAGAATCTTGAAAAGAATGATGAGGTTTTGATTAATTATTGTGGCATGCCACTCTTCTTTGGTAGAAGAGAGTTTGCCATAGTTTCAGGGTTAAAATGCCATCATCTTTCTGAGCCAGTCCTTGAATTCATAGTAAAAAAAGAACCACGAAGACGAAAGAAAGGAGGAAAAGAAGAAACAAGACAGTCAACTGAGGAGCAGGACTTGGTGTCCCTTGTTGACACAAGCTTCAAAAATCCCGATTTAATATATTTGTTGAATGTCAAGGATACACCAAGGAAGCACAATGAGTCATTGTGCTTACTTTGGTTTGTACATAATGTACTTTTGGCCAAAGATCTCAACAACAACATATCCCTTAAATGGGTGAATTTATCTCAGGATATTGAGGCTTTCAACAACTATCCTTGGGGTTGTTTTACTCGAAAAATATAAATAAAGAAAAAATGACCTACGTATCCCGTTGAAGCAGGAATCAGGTCAAACGTAGTTCCCCTCTCGAGGGTTAACAAAAAATAGGAAATTAACTAAGGAAACGACCGAGGCCGACATAGGCCGCCTACGTATCTCATTCTTGAGATTTCAGGTTGAACGTAGTTCAGATACAAAAGGAAACATTAAAAAGGGGTAAAAGGGGAGACCGAGGCCGATATAGGCTACCTACGTATCTCATTCTTAAGAATTCAGGTCAGACGTAGTTCATTACAAAGGGATAAATTCTAAGCATATACGATTACAAGCAAATAAAGGCGATTACAAGGAAAAGATAGAAATCAAGTCTTTAAACATGGTATCTTTTGACGACATTTAACTAGATTGATAACTTGTGAGATCCAATGATCATGCTCAACCATGTGATGTCATCAAACAAATGTATCGATGTGTTCTCCAAGCAAACTGATGAGTTCTCCTTCTTGTGTTTTTGTCAGATAGGCACCAATTTTGATTTCTTTGAGGCGTTCATCATTTTCCTGATTCACTATTCTGATCTCTTCTGAATTCAGCTTATCGTGACTTTCGGACCGTCTAAACTTCTCAACCAAGTGTTTGGATACCATGATCTTCTCGTTGTAATCCTCCAATTCCTCCGCATCTACCCCATTTTGTTCATTCAGCTTGTGACATGACATGATACTGACAGATTTGAAAATATTTTCATTGAAATCATAGACGAATATAGTTAGATAGCAAATACAAATCAAGTAAAGCATTTTTTTGCAATAAAGGAGTTTTTCATTTGAAATAAGAAAATAAGAACTTTGGCCATGATAATAAATCATTTTGCCTTTTTTTTAAAAAAATATTATGAGGGAGATTAAAACGTATTGAGGCAAAATAGAGTAAAAGATGGGTCTCGAGACTCATTCGGAATACAACCAATTTTAGAAATAACATAAAAATGTTTATGTCTACCAAGACGAGCGAGGAATCAAAAGCGAAGTGGATGTCCAATTAGGCATTTTCTCTTTTGACTCGCCGTCTGGTATGACTGGAGTCTCGATCATCTCTTCAAGCATAATATCACCTTCTTTGAACAATTTTTTTATTCCTTCCCCTAGACCATTTTGCATTGGAAAAGACCGATATAAGTGAGGCAATGATTTTGGAAAAGCTTGATCGATCTTCTGCTTGCTCTAACCTTCTTTCGGCACTAAAGCAAAAGCTTGATGAGGTGCCAAGATCACAAATTTGGATTTCTCTCTTTAGGTTGGAGAGGCTACAACTTTCTCAAGCTTTTCAAGGTTGGCTGAGATTATAACTTTATTCACATTCAAATCTTCTTCGACTTTAACCATATTAATAGTTACCCCTCCATGATTCGGCATGGGGTTACTATTGACACTAGGAGTGGCAGTCTGAAGAGTGGCAACCTTTTGATCTATCAAGTCTTGAATTTTATGCTTCAAGTTGATACAATCCTCAGTAATATGCCCAGCACCTCCTGAATGGTAAGCACAGTGAAGATCGGGTCTATAAAGCTTGGAGTTGACATTGATATTTTTTAGATCAATTGTTTGTATCAGGCCAGCCGATTTCAATCTCTCAAAAAGTTGTGTTCGGCTCTCAACCAAAGGAGTAAAGACTCTAGAAGGTTTCTTCTCACGAGGAGGATTGTAATTATTTCCTGGATGTGAAGGTACTTGACAGTAGTTTGGAGGATTTTGGTGAGTTGGTACTTGCGTTTGGAAATTTGGGTATTGTGGAGCTCGGTAGCTAGGAGGGGTATTTTGGTAGTACGGGGGTGGAATTTGATAACGTGATTGGATATTTGAATAATTAACTGATGGAGCTTGGTAATATGGATGGGTATTTTGGTAATGTGGAGATGGAGCTTGGTAAAGAAGAGATAGAATTTAGTAACTCGCTGGTGGAGTTTGGTAATTAGGAGATAAAATTTGGTAACTCGGTCGTGGAGTTTGATAACCTGATTGGGTATAACAAGCTGGATATGAATTTTTTGGAGCTCGAGGATGACCTTTGTAAGGTGAGGATTTTCTGAAGTGTCCTTTTCCATCAGATGCGTAGGAAATATAAGACATATCCTCTCTCTTCTTTTTCAACAGTCTTGAAGATTCGATTAGGGCGGCAACGCGAGAAATCTTTCCAGTTTTAATCCCATCTTCGATAGCCTCAACTACCTTGACTATCTCCACAAATTTTGCTCCAATAAGCAACATTATCCTGTCATAATACTCTGGCTCTTGAATGTGTATGGACACTTCAATGATCTCTTTCTCAGACATAGGAGGTCGAACCCGGGCGGCCTCTTTCCTCCACCTATACGCATATTCACGATAGCTTTCAGGGGATTTTCGCTTAATTCTCTCTAGAGAATATCGATCAGGAACGATCTCCACATTGTAGGCGAATCGTTCGACAAAATTTTTAGCTAGTGCATTCCAGCTAGACCACTGCTTTATCTCGTGGGAAGTAAACCATTCCAAGGCTTCTCCATTCAAACTTCGGCCAAAGAGTCGCATTAACAAGGCTTCATTCTTGCCAACTCCTACGAGTTGGTCACAGTAGGCTCTCAGGTGCGCTAATGGATTCCCTGTTCCTCCGGAAGTGTCAAATTTTGGCACTTTAAACCCTTTCGGGAGGTCCAGATTCGAATGAATGCACAGATCCTCATAGCTCAAACCATCGACTTCAGGAACACAATGCAACTCATTCATGGCTTTCCTGATCTCTTCTTTCATATTCAACTTGGCTGCCTCTTCCTTTGACCTCCACTTTCTCTCTTGTTCCTCATAGTGATCAAGCTCGGAACAGTTGGCATAGGGTTCATTTGGAATTGGGATTTGAAAAGTAGTCTTTTGAGGCAATGGCGGAGCAATGGAGGGACTCTGGGTATTTTGAGTGACTTGGTAATTTTGGGGGAAAGTCTGGGGGTTGGTATGTTGATTATGGTGATGGGGGAATGTTTGCGGATTGTTGACATTTTGATTTTGAAGAGGAGGGCAAGCTTGTGGGTTGGTATTTTGATGAGAAGGAAAGGTTTAGGGGTTGGTACCTTGAGGAGGAGGTGGCGTTTGGTAAGAGACGGAGGCCTGATGGGGATTTGGGGTGGTTGGGTCGATGGTTGAGGGATTTTGAGCGGGATTGTGGGGAGGGTTCTGAGCCTGTTCCGCGTTCGAAGGAGGAAAGTAGAGTGGAGGTCTCCCATCTCCTGGAGTATTAAAAGCAAAAACCGGATTATGCAGATCTTGCATTCTCTGCATTTCGACCCTCATCTCGGTGATCTGTTGCATCAACTGCATAATTAATTCATTTTGATCAATGGCGGCGGGCTGAGCCACGACAACATCAGTCAAGCTAATCTCGTCATTGCTATCACCCATTATTGTCTTTCATTTTTAAAAACTTTGATCGGGAAAGGAATCTTTGGGAGCCTTAGATCTTGTAAAATAAGGGTGTTCAACCAGCTTATCAACATAGACCAGTTCTAAGTACCTGACAAAGAAAAATAACTCAAAAGATAAACGTGTTAGTCTATGTAGATGATAAATAATACAAAATATCACACGTATGACCACAAGCACATAAGAGTTGCTCCACTTGAACATAGACTAGCCCACTGATATAGAAAAAACTTAATAGACATGAATTTGTCTATTTGAAGATAGACTAGTCGAGACAAAGTTGATTGTATCTTTTATTGTCATATTTCTAATTTTTGGCTGAGATGTAACTTTAAAGTATTTGGACGCACTTTTGATAGTGAGTTGATATTTGTGCTTAAAGGGTTCTAGAAAATAATTTGAAGAGGAGTGAGTTAGAATATCTTCAAATAAAGCAACATATTCACACAAGCAGTTATAACACATAAGCAAATATTGCGCGTTCTAAACAAATATGTGACCCTTTTGTGCCAAGGGTAGGCCTAGCGATTCGAAAGATGTATAACGTCGTTTGAAACATTGCATTGCCTCGAAATCGAAATTTATATAAATTTTAAGAATAAAACTGAAAGGGGATACATAATAGGGAAATGAGATACAAAATATTAGTCCCGCGCAGGGGCACAATCCTAATCTATGCTTCCATGGAAAGATCATTCGCTCTTGATTTTTTGTCATCTCCGGCTGTCCACGCTTTTGTTAGCAATGAAAACTTGTTCCTTCTTTGATTAGAATAAAGCTATAATCTAACTCCCTAACCCAAGAGACAATGTTTTGCCAAATGACGTATACATCCTTCAAATTTAAACACATAAGTATGATTGTCTTTTATTGACCAATGGGTCAAATCGACATAAGGTGGGCTTTCTAATGGGCCCAACACGCCTTGGGTGTTGGGTCAACTTAGTTCAAAATGCGCTAAATTAGGGATTTGGTTTCATTCTACGCTAGTTGACTAAGAGTGGCTTTTGAAAGACCGGGAACCCAAGTGGACAACTTAGGCTGTAACTCACGACAACCATTGGACACATGACGTACCAATAAATTGCCGATCCTTCCGGAAAATGGTTGAGTATAAAAAGTCTGGTTGCGATTATGCAGAAACTGTCCTTAATATATACTATACATACAACAGGAATGCCATGAATGCAATGACAGTTATATCAATTTAAACGCATTAAACGTAGATAACCAATTTAGCAATTAATAACAATTAGTCAAATAAGTCAATTCTTATTAAGTCCCCAGCAGAGTCGACATTTCTATTTTACTCGAAAAATATAAATAAAGAAAAAATTACCTAGTTTTCGAAAAATCGATCAAACTTATGGTTTAAGTGAAATCAAATTTTCAAAAGAAAAGAGTCACCACTTAATTTTTAGTAAAAATCAAGAAAAAACTTGAGGTTTTCAAAAGATTTAAACATATAAAAATCAGTTGAAAATAAGAGGGTTCGAAGTCCAATATACATTTCGAGAAGGTGTCAGGCCCTCGAAATGTCCGCTAACTTGCGGTTGACCGGCGATTTGACTAAAAAATGATTTTGACTAATTTTGAAATTTTAACCAAGTAAAAGAACTCATACCGACTTTGACTAATTTTAAAATTTTAACTAAGTAAAGGAATTCATTTATTTTAACTAATTTTTGAAATTTTAACTAAGTAAAAGAACTCATTTATTTTAACTTATTTATTTATTGCTATTATTATTTTTATCATTTATTTATTTTTATCTTAAGGGGAAATGAACTAAAGGGGAATAACTCAAGTGTTGACAATAACAAAATTAAAACGGAAGCTAGGTAAATAAAATATGTATAAAATAAATATTTATACTTTTTGAATAGAGAAAATACATTAAAAAAAACCTGAACTTGGCCGGATAACTTACTTTAGTACTTAAACTACACGGGAGTTTAAATCCCCCCCTTAAGATCGTTCTTCCTTGTTGTTCACCATTATTCCAACCTTCAATATTTTCTTTACTTCTTCTTCACTATTCAGCAATTTTTAAGTCACTTTAAAGAAGAAATTCACATTATCTTCTTCGAACCCTCCCAACGAATTTACCCTCTTGGAGAATGGATTTTTTTGAAAGCCAATTTTTTCTTGACAACTCAAATAAGAAATGAAGATTGCATAAGAAAGTTGATACCAAAAAAAATATAAATTTTATGAGAAATGTTTGAATGATCTAGAAATCAAAATGGGTGCTCAAAATTTAAGAAAGTTTAGATTTGTCAAATCGATACAAATAATAGAGTGAAATCGACGTCAGTAAAATGACATTGTTATTGAATTTTATGGATTAGTAAAAGATTAGTGAAATGAAAATAGTGAATAGAGGTGGGGAAGAAGATGGAGGAAGAGATGTTTCAATGGAGAAAAATGTGTATTGAAGAAGACAACAAAATAAAAATAAAAAAAATTAAAGAAAATAAAAAGGGGACCCACTAATTTCATTTACCTCTTAATAAGAAAATTTACATATTTTAAAGATTTAATACATATAAAAAAAACTATTTAAATAATTTGTTATAAATTGACCAATAAAAAAAGGCCATGTGTAGAGCTTTAAAAATTCAGCTTTTTTTTTCTCTTTTTTCACGCACTTTCAAGAGAGTGCACTCACTCTCTCTGCCACATCATACCTTAGGGGGCATTTTAATCACTTAAAAGATGTTAAGGGGGGTATATAAACACCCGTGTAGTTTAAGTACTAAAGTAAGTTTTCGTGCCAAGTTCAGGGGGGATTTTATGTCTTTTCCCTTTTGAATATAAAAGCGAAATGGCTATCTATGGGAATTTAATTAAGTTAAACTATAAAATAAATAAAGTTAGTCACATAATGTAATAGGTAAAGAGCAAAGGAAAGAAATATCAATTGAGCCTTTGGCCCAAATTCGTAAACCTGTCCTAATACTAAATGACCCAAAACATGAATTCGGGCCTATTTAATTGCAATTTTGCTGCTGGGCCATTCTTTTGGGCTTTTTAGACCCATCTTCGCTGCCACTTGGACCTGCTAGAAATTGTTCAAGGCCTGGGGCCTATTTTTTTCAACTTTCGGAATCTAAAAAAAACATATCACATTTCAGTCCATATTCATCGTCCTCCACCTGTACGCCAGTTTTCACAATTTAACATAGGGACTGACTCGAGAAATATGGATGTTGGGCCTTTACGGTCCCCTTAGGGTAATGCAGGAGAAGAGGCAGAGTCCACGAAAGTTTCGGCAGATTTACATACAACACAGGAAGATAAGGAATATATTAGTGTAATGCGGAACTCTTCTCAACAAAAATACCATCAATTTAAACATATAGCTATATAATCCCAGTAATAATTTAACATAATGACACATGTAAATATTACATGAATCATGCTCACTTTGCTAATCTCAACACTAGCTTTGCAAACATTTAACAACTTATAATAATTGAGAGGTTATACCTAACTAATTCGTTCATCCTATTTCAAGAAAAAAGCCGAAAATAAGACTCATGCTATCACAAAAACAAATGAATCGGACAATGCTACATTCCTGGAAATCTTATTTAATGATCAAAGCCATCAATGGAATCATATATTAAGACTAGATTATCATCTCAAGAACTAAAGAAAAATAAATTCAGCCTTAGGTATCACTGCTAGTGCAAATAACTGAGAAAATAAATTCAAACGAGGCTTAATCAGGCTGTAATATAAGAGAGCCAAAATTCGAGGGAGGGGGGAAGCAAACTACCTAAATGCCCATTTCTGAAAGCTCTATACAGAGGCTTACACTAGCAAACTAACAAATCTTTCTGTCTGCCATGGCCAAGGAACGCAAATGCTTTCTTAATTCATGACTCGAAATAACAGGGAAATAAGAAAATTCCAACAATGAGAATATGAACTCGGAATGGGGGAAACATCAAACTTTCAACAAAAACGGAAACAAACAACAACAACATGGACTAGCAAATAAGATTCATCATTGATTTGCAGCCAACAACAAGTCAAAAACGATCCCAAGTAATAACATATACTCAACTTTGCATAGCCAAAAACTTAACAGAATCCCATTAAGAACAAAACAATACTTGAATCGAAAATAAGTATTACCTTCCAAAGAGCAGCGAACGGAGACGAAAATGGGCAGACGGGCAGCGACTCTTCCGCCACACAAATTCGAAACTCGAACAACCGACCGAAAGCTTTGAGCTGGTTTCGAAAAAGAAAACTTTTCGCTTCTTAGAATAAAAAAGAAAGGAAAAGGAGAACTGTCTAAAACTTTTAAGTGTAAAATTTGTTCAAAGAAATTCCAACCCTTTTCTTGACTCCTAATTTTCCAACCCGAAAAAATCGTTTTTCAAAAATTCCCCTCTCAATCACAGTGAATAAGAGCAAATATATAGAAAGGAAAAAGTAGGTTTCGAAAAATGGGGGGAAAGGGATGAAAATTCGGATAAGAAAGGGCTCATTCCCAATTCAAATTTCAAAATTCTTTCAGAATTAAGGAGAAACACCTTTTCTTGCAATTTTCGACCCATTCCGAAAGAGAAAAGGGGAGAAAACGCGAGCCTCTTTCTCTGCTATACCAGTTCTGGGTTTCTTGTCGCTGGAGGAGAAGAAGAACAATACGGGGTCATTTTGGTCATGTTGTACGTTGTATTTGCTGTTGTTATTTGGAATTGTATGTTGGGGTGCTTATTACAAAAGAAGTGGGTATTGTATTTGAAAGTGGGTTGTTGAGAATTGTTATAAGAATTGGGTTGGCTACTGGATGTAATGAATTGGGCTAGAAATTAGGCCCAAAATTGGACTAAGAGGAGTTGAAGAAATTGGTTGCATTGGAATTGAGAAATTGGCCAATTGGATTAATGACTTAGCTAAATTGAGTTAATTAGTAAATTCGACTAATAATTAAATAGGATGAATTAATATAATTAATTAAT